GTGCGGTGTGTGCCACTGCCGGGCGGTGCATGCCGCTGCCGGGCGGTGCGTGCCGCTAGGCGTGCGGCTGGCAGCCTGTACTGCGGTGCGCTGTGGGGCAGCCTGTACCGCGGCGCGCTGCCGGGCGGTGCATGCCGCTAGACGCGCTGCTGTGCGCGCTGCCGCCTGTGATTGCGACGCAGCGTGTTGCCAGGTGTCGTGTCCATAATAGTCTGTTTGAGTTTTATTCTCAGATGGTTTGAAGCAATCTCAGGCCTCAAAATCAATTTATCTAAGGGTGAACTGTTGAAGACAGAGGATGGTCTTATTGATCCCAGTATGGTTAATGTCTTGGGGTGTAAATCTGGAAATCTACCCACCACCTACTTTGGTCTTCCCTTGGGAGCCAAAAGCAGCTCTGAGAGAATCTGGGATACAACTATTGAAAGATTTGACAGAAAATTGGCAATGTGGAAATCTAAATATTTATTATCAAAGGGAGGCAAGCTCACTCTAATTAAGATTGTATGGTCTTCACTTCCAATTTATTATCTATCTTTATTTCAGATTCCCGCCAGTGTTGCAAAGCTGCTAGAAAAGAAACTGAGGCTCTTTTTATGGGCCGGGTGGAGGAACAATTTCAAGTTTAATTTGGTAAGGTGGAATCTGTGTGCAAATCAAGGAGAACTGGTTGTTTAGGAATCAGAAATCTTAAAGTTGTAAACAAAGCTCTGCTTGGAAAATGGTGTTGGAGATTCAGCAAAGAGAGGAGCAGCCTCTGGAGAAGAACCATTGCAGAAAAGTATGGACTCACAAACCTAGGGTGGAACTCAGGTCCTAGTTTTTCCCTAGGGGCTGTGCCTTGTGGAGCAATGTTGTCTCTATCTCCCCTGATTTCCTGAAAGGAATTAAATACAAGGTTGGCAAGGGTAATCTCTTCAAGCTCTGGCATGACAATTGGTGTGGAGACATTGCTTCAAAGGATAGGTTCCCCTCTCTCTTTGACATTGCACAGGATAAAGATGTTGAAGTGGATAAATGTTTTGACTTGAGGAATGGTGAAGTTATATGGAGCCCTACCTTCAGAAGAAACCTTAATGATTGAGAAATAGGTCCATTAACAGATATTCTAATTCAGATTCACAGCTTCAAGACCAACCCACAAGCAGATGATGAAAGAACTTGGGCTTGGGAGGCTTCTGGAACTTTCTCTTTTAATATAGAAGTCCAATGCTCCTTCAAAAGTAGCCTTCCTGATTTGGACTGCAGCACTCGCCAAGTGCCTAACCGCAGATCGGCTGGTCAGAAGGGGGATGCAGCTTCCTAGTCTTGTCCTTTCTGTGTGGAAGCTCCTGAATCTTCAACCACATTTTTATCCACTGCAACTTCTCTCAGCAGCTTTGAGAAACGGCCCTCTCCCGTTTTGGTGTTTCTTATTGTCTTCCTGTCTCAGTCCTTCAGCTGCTTCAGGGATGGACCATTGAAGGTCTGAATGCAAGAGGCAAGCTGCTTTGAAAGATCTTTCCAGCCGCTATCCCTTGGGCCCTCAGGAAGGAAAGGAACAGCCGGATTTTTGATAATCTTTCCAATGACATAGTTTCTGTAAAGAACAAAATTATAGGTTTTCTTTGTTCCTGGTTAGGTGTACAAAGAGCTTTCACTGGAGTTCAGTTCATTCCTTTTTTGCAAGCTGGACCTTTTTTTATCTGATCTATCAGATCTTTTGTAAATTCCCAATGTACAGGTCCTCATTGTACATGGGCTGGTGTATCTGGTTTCCTTTTGCAATACAATACTTTACCTTTTTCAAAAAAAAAAAAAAAAAAACTGATTGTTGCTGGGGATTTTTCTCTCGTATTTTCTTCTCTTCACTTTTTTTTTGTTTTTGAAGATAAATAAAAATGAAAATTTATTAGAAGAAGAGAGGAGAATACAAGAAAGGGTGATAAGATATCACCCACCAAAAAAGACCAAAAAATCAACACCTTCCAGCCCTCCAAAAATAAGAACCTCCCAAGAACTCAATACATCCAGAAAATTCAAACTCATCCAAACCCAAAAACTAAAAACACTCCACCCTGAAAGAAGCTGAAAAAGAATCTTCTACCCTCGATTAAACCTTATCTGAAGCAGATTCCTTTTCTAATTCCATGCTCCCAAGAAGAAGAGCCCTAACATTTTGATTAGATGGACCTCTGTTTCCAAACTTTTTTCCAGATCAATCTTCTTCCCTGCCTTTCTCACTTTATCCAGAACTACCTCACTCTCTTCCTCTTGGCCTTTATCAATCTTTTCACAACCTTCATTCACTTCCTCCAACTCTCCCCTCTTCAGATTATTTTCTTCTTCTTGAGAATCCAAAGCCATCTCCTTTAAAATCCTCTTAGAATCGTCCTTCAAAATATCAAGTGAGTTGATCTTTTCAGTACCTTTCTGAACTTTGGTTTTCGTCTTCACACCCTTCTTCTTATATAGACTCTCTTGAACTTATCACTTGGACCTGCACCCAGAAGACCATCCTTCAAACGGCGAAAGACTTTGGTGACATGAACCAAATGTCCTTTGCTTTGTACCTTTATAATTCTTCAGGTATCTGACGTGTTGCTATCAATATTAACCACTTCAAACCCATTTCCCTTCCTTTTCTGCCTCAGAGCAACACTTAATTCGCCCACCATCACCTCGAAGACATCTACTGAACTCTGCGACTCTCCTTCCAAATCTGAAAACTCACAAAGGTTCACTCTTTCTACCTCTTCCCCTTGTTGAGCACTACAGACATTCTCTTCACTTATTTCTTTATCTAACTTCTCACTTATTTATCTCTATGCTGTTTACTCTTAACAGTAAGGGTTTTCTCTTTCTACTTTCTTGTTCATTCTTTGGTGGGCAGCAAGCTGCCTACTTGCTTTACGACCCCTATTCTGAATCAACCAAATCAACCACTCCTACTTCTATTCGCATACACAACCACTCCTACCTTTTCATTCTCTCATCATATACAGCCCCTGTTCTTCCTCCAAATCCTCTTTCAGCTTCCTATTYACTCACCAACAGCCAAGTATCAGAAGGCCCCTAATTTCTCCTACATCAAGAATACATACTGATGAATATCGTTCTACCTGATTGACAAAACCTTAAGTTTTGAAGAATTAGCTAGCAATCTTCTCATCTCATTATGACTATTGCACTAAATTTCCAGAATTTAACCAAAATTTAAGGTCCAATTCCTAGTGGAATTCCTACAGCAAGAAAACCAAACAAAGGGCATTAATTTAGAACCTCCAAAAAAAATCATAAAAATGCTCATGACAACTTAAAGAAGTTGGCATACTCTTCCAAGAATCAGAATATAAATGGTATGCAAACCTCTTTTTGGAGATCCTCACGCCTTTGGATTGAGAGCTCTAGCTGTTCCTTTGCCTAATAGCATGAAACACAAGCAAAAGCAATCACCCCATCATCATCAACATCTTAAAGTGTATGCATTGACATCACAAAATAAACCAGCAAACATAAAGACGCTAAATTCACCTGATCATAATAATCATCACTGGAGTTTGATGATAACTCTTTACTGTTAGAGGAAACCAGAAGCATAATTAAATAAAAATCAGCAATATGCTACAAGCCTATGCCATTTCTTAAGAATGGTCTTCTAGAAAAGCCTACTAATTCAACAATTTGATAGAATTCTTTAGGAAGATGGAGAATGCCCCAAAAATGAAAAAGAGAGACTTGACATATGACCTTTCCCAGTAATAAAATTCTTGCTTGGTAGTAATTAATGTTTTTTTTTTAAATATGAAGTCAAATGGAGTAATGTTACCATGCTGCAAGACCAAGTCTTCACACAACCAGGGGATATTACAGAAAACATTAACACAATGGAAATTATAACTAACCTTTTATTCCTAGCAACAAAACATAATTGAGTTTACCTGGTCCGCTTCTTCAACTGTTGATCTTTATCCTTGTCTCTGCTTCTGTCATGACCACTGCTACTCCTATCTCTATCTCTGTCCCAGTCCAAATCACGATCCTTTTCCCTATCTCTATCAATATTCCTATCATGCACTTGCTCATTTTCTTCTTGATCTCTGTCTCGGTCACGATCTCGATCTAGGAAGTGATCTCTTGTTCGATCATGATCATGTCTACGCCCATGTTCTCTTTCTCGTTCCAGATGTCGGTCACGAGACCTGTCTCTATTACGATAACCCTCCCTCTCATTGTCATAATTCCTATCTCGATCTCTGCCCCTATCCCAGTCCAAGCCTCTATCCCTCTCAGAATCACGATGGAAATTTTCACGATTAAAATTTGGTCTTGTACCTCTGGTCTTGACTTCATTTACTCTTACAATGCGACCACCAATTGTCTAATTTAAAGTTCCACAACATCAGAAATCTAGAAAATTGAAATCAAACATAAAAGACAAAATCTGATATACATAGCAGAAAGTGGAGCACCATGTACTAACAACACAATACAACTCGGAGCTCCAGTCAAATAAAGAAGAACAACATACCTTGTCATTTATCAAATTATTAAAAAACACCACTTACAAAAAATAAAGAAAGGAAGGAAGAAGAAGAAGAACATACCCTGCCATTCATATCATTGATGGCATCAATTGCAGATCTAGGATTTGTAAAAGTAACAAATCCATAGCATTTTCCCCCTACTTCTCGATCATTAATTATCTGGAAGAGGAATAGTAGTCAACAGAGGCAGTCTTCCCAACGTAAAATAAGCCATCAAGCTCTTAAATGCATTGTGCACCCTATCACTGCTTTTCAATCAATAATTAATTCTCAGATTAAAATTAAAAGACTATCCTAGATCATACAGGGAACCCAATCAAATTAAATTGTGAATTTCATCATAAACTGAAAGAATGATTAAAAACAATAGGGAAATGAATAAACTATAGAAATTCCAAAAGAATAAAAAAGTACAACTTTCCATCATTTTCTATTCATATCCATCATGTAAGTAGCTTTTCCGGTACCTTGGTTCAATAATTCATAATAAGAGAGAGAGAGAGAGAGAGAGAGAGAGAGCATGTCACCCACAGAATTAGCACAAGATGGACAAAATGGCAGGGTGCATCCAGAGTATTGTGTGATAGGAGAATGCCACTTTGATTAAAAGGAAAATTCTATATAACAGTTGCAAGGTCAGCTATAGTGTATAGAGTAGAGTTTAGGGTATGCTGAAATAGATAGTGGAAAAACTAGAAAGGATAGGGTCGGAAATGAAGTCATTCAAAGGAACAAGGAGTATCTCCAAAAGATGATAAAATGAAAAAATGTAGACTAAGATGGTTGGTGATGTGCATAGAAAACCATTAAAAGCACCCATGATCTATTGCAAGTTGAAGGGGCTAGAAGGGGTAGGGACAGACCAAAAAGCACATAGGTTGAAGAAGTAAGAGATGATTTAAACACTCATAATTTAACAATGGATATGGCGTTAAACAAAAAGAAATAGTGAAACAGAATTAATGTAGCCGACCCCATATAGTTGGTATAAGCAAAAAGATTATCCCCAAATCCTATTTGGGGATGGGTTTTTTTTTTTTTTTGAAAAGGTAAAGTATAATATCATTGAAATGGGCAAAAAGCATGTACAAGGAAGAGCTATAGATATAAAAATACTGCCCAGTCCTATATCCCCAAACCCTGTTTTACAAAAAGATTATCAAAAACCAAAAAGGAATTATAATGTCTGCCCTTAAACATTCTATATACTGCCAGCCAAGATAACATTTTTCCCAAAGTTTTGTGAAATTTTGTATCTTTAGAATTATGTTGACTCTTAAAAATCCTTTTGTTTCTCTCCGGCCAAATGCACCAAAAAACCACTTCAGGAGCCATATTCCATGCCAGTTTTCCCCTCTTTGTGAGACCTTTGACTCTCCAGCTCTTCACAAAATCCACCACYGATTTTGGGTAGCAACTAGGGGTGAGCAATCGGCTTATTCAGTTAAAAACCAATCCAAATAAACTGAAATTTTTAAAACCAACTTTGAAATGGAAAACCAAACCGAAACCGATATTTTTGGTTCGGTTTTCAGTTATTTCGGTTAAAACCAAATTTCTTTAATATATTATATATATAATACAATATATATACATATACTATATTATATTTTAAATACTCTATATAATATATAACATATATATTAATATATATAGATATATATGTATATGTATATGTATATGTATACGTATATATATATATATATATAAACTTCGGTTTTATTTCGGTTTTTTTGGTTAACCAAATTTCAAAACCTAAAAATTGAAACCAAAACCAAAATTTTGTAAAACTGAATTAACCAAACCGAATTAACTGAAAACCAAAGTAACTGAAACTGATATTTCGGTTCGTTTTTTTTTCAGTTTTAACCATAGTAATCAAGGCGTCGTCTAGGCAACTAGGCACCCACATAGGCAACAAAAGTGACAAGGCGGGCACCTCTTATAATATATGTGTTAAAAGATTATTATATGCTATATATATCAATTATACCTTGTTTTAATGTTTTACTATTGAAATTTAAAAGATCAAAGGGTTTTGAGGAGAGAAAAAGAAAGAAAGAAAGAAAAGAAAGACTTCAAAGAAAGTAGGTGTCGCCTACTTCCTCTCTCTCTTTCCTATCCCAAACAAAGTTGCTAGAAAGCTTGAAAAACTTCAAAGAAATTTTCTTTGGAGGGATTGGGAAGAGGAGAAAAAAATTCACCTAGTTAGTTGGGATCAAGTCTGCCTCCCCAAGAATGAAGGTGGTTTAGGCATAAGAAAGTTGAAAACATTTAATTCTGCTCTTCTCTGCAAGTGGATTTGGAGATTTGTGACTGAAGAGGAAGCTTGGTGGAGATCTCTCATTGCCAGTAAATATGGAGTAGAGTGGGGTAACTGGAGAACTAGGGACCCTCCTCCTAGCTGGGGAAACTCTCTGTGGAAAAGGATAATGAAGAACTTCTCTGTTCTTGCTGAAGGGATTTCAGTTAAGGTAGGAAATGGTAGCAGAACCAATTTTTGGAAGGATCCTCGTGCTTGGATGGTTCTCTTGCCGAGTCTTTTCCTCTCCTTTTTCAGTGTGCATCCAATCAAGAGGCTTTTGTTGCTGAGTGTTGCAGTTTGTCTGGAGAGTCAGCTGTTTGGTCCCCTACCTTTAGAAGAAATCTTTTCGACAGGGAACTGGAAGAGATGTTGAACTTGTTGACTATTCTTCAGAATCAAAAGGTGGATTTCTGTTCACAAGATAAATGGTCCTGGAAGTGGAGTCCAGATGGTGTTTTCTCTGTCAAGTCTTTGGTTTCCAAACTTTGTAGAACAAGTGTTTCTGATTTCCCTAGCTCTCAGGTTTGGAACCCCATTAGCCCATCTAAGTCCAACTTCCTGGTTTGGACTATGGTGCTGGATAAATGTCTATCTAGAGCTAATCTTGTGAGAAGGGGCTTTCAGCTTTTGGACACTGTGTGCAGTCTGTGTGGGAATAATTCTGAATCTACTGATCATTTGTGCATTCACTATCCACACTCCTCTCAGCTGTGGAATTATTTTTTCAGTTATATGAACTTAAGATGGGCTATGCCAAGATCGGTTAAGGAGCTTATGTGTTGTTGGAACATCAAAGGGCTTAACAAGAAAAGGAAGATAGTGTGGAAGACCATCCCTAGTGTTGTTTTATGGTCCATCTGGTCTGAGAGGAATAGTAGGCTTTTCTGTAATAAGGCCTTGAGTCCAGAAGATTTAATACAGAAGACAGTGGGCAAGTTAATCTCTTGGGTGTCAATCTCTGAAGAGTCTAAGGACTTCTACCTCACTAGCAGTGAAGCCCAAAGCACCAGCTCTAGGGGAATCAGCAACCTGCCCCATAGGAGAAGAAGACATTGTTGGTATATTCTGTGAGTTGTCACCATTGTTGTTGGTGACAAGATTCCCACTTGCCGCATGACCCTTCTGTTGTTTCTTGTCCTTTCTCAATGCAGCTGGCTTCAGGTGAGGATAAAGGACCCAACACTTTTCTTTTACATGTCTCTCACCACCACAATGAGTGCACTTAAGGTGCTTCTTGTCTAGATGTTTGTTTCCCTTAGTGGAGACCAAGGCTGAATGTTCTCCAAATTGTTCAGTTGGTTGAGTCTGAGAGTCAACTTGCATCTCCTTTCTCCTGACTTCTTCATTCCTCACYAGATAATAAACATGGTGTAACTCGGGCAATTCATCTCTCCCTAGAATTTGTGACCTTATACCCTCATGCACTGGGTCCAGGCCCGCCAAGAACTTAAAGACTCTACTCTCTTCAATCTGCTTATCATGTCTCTCCTTGTCCCTGGCATTTTCCCAATCCAATATCAAGTGATGGTCAAGTTCTTCCCAAAGGCCTTCCAGAGTTGCAAAGTATGTTGCAACTATCATATCCCCTTGCCTTAAGGCTGCAATGTCTTGATTCAATCTGTAGATTCTAGCATTGTTTTTCTTCTGTCCATAGGTCTTAGACACCTTTTCCCAAATCTTGGCTGTTGTAGGAAAGTGATGAACAGTCCTGGCAACCCGAGGAGTCATAGAGGCAAGCAACCAGGACATAATCGTCGCATTCTCCTTGTGCCACACAGCATACTCTGCACTGCCAACCTCAGGTTCCTTCTTGTTCCCATCTAAGTAGCCTGCGAGATCACGGGAAGTAATAAAAAGCATTGCAGAAACAGACCACTCCCTGAAGTTGTATACATCCAGCAGCACACTTGTAATCTGCAAGTTGTGCAGATTAGGGTTTTCCARATTTGAAGACCTTGCAGCAGGTCTGTTGTCCCTAGAAGAAACCTCTCCGGATACTGAAGACATCTTGACTGTAGCCTCAGTGTAGATGGCACTGTTTAAGACTAGCCGAAGTGATCACAGTGCTGAAAGAGAGACTAGTTGCAGAGTTGAAGGTTTAGACAGCTCGCAACACTGTTTCAGACTTTCCGAGACTGTCACAGTTCTGAAGCAGTTCAGTTACAGCAGCAAATGAGGTGTTCTGGGCTGGTAACCGACCTGAAACTAAGGGCTCTCCACCACTGTGCTATGCAGACTTCACTTGAGCTTCGAGTACTACAACTGTAGAGAGAGTTCTTCCCCTTACGGCTACTGCTAGGACTGCTGAAATCAGTCCTTAACTAGGTTTGTCCTATACAGACCTCTCTTAGTAGCCGAATAGCTACTATCTACTAGAAACAGTCTAGTAGGACATCAACGTCTGGATCTTACTTCCCTTGCGCCCTACAACCAAGGGAAACCCTAGGTTCGAACCTTGTTTTGTTCTCCTACAACCCTAGGGTTTCACAGCAGCAACCCAGAGAAAAAAAAAAAAAAGAGAAAAGAAAGACAACAAGAGAGAAGAGATGGCGTCGGCTGTAACCAGGAAGGTGCTTAATGCTCTGATACCATGAAAGCTGAAGTGCTCTAGCACATCTATTTGTATTTTTCTCCTACTTTTTCCTCGTTTTTTTAACAAATCCATTAAGAGTTTTGGTGGTATAATATCATTTGTAATTACTATTTTCTAAAGCATGTTTCTTTCTCAGAAGCATAAACTTTTTTCATTGATTATTGGAAGCAGAAACATTTTCTACTATGAGTATCAGTTTGATACTTTTTTTGGAAATGTATCAATCCCCCCCCCCCGACTTGAAAATTATTGTCCACTGATAAGGTTGAAGTCATGATGTCCAACTCTTCTTTCTACCACAAGGCTATGTTTCATTCAGAAAACCTGTTTTCTTGTAATAAAATAAAATTTATGAAAAAAAAAGAGCATTAAAAGGAAGGTGACCAAAAGTCACCCGAGAGAAAAAGAACAACAACTTCCAAAAAGTTTCATTCAGAAAACCTTCACAATAAGTTTTTATTCCAAAATAAATTTCCCCATTATGATGCTCTAGAATCAAATGTTTCCAAATAAATAGGATTATGACAGATAGGCAATACAAGTTTAGGAATGAATCAATGACAATAATAGAAAAAGAGAAATTACAATTGGTGGCCAAGAGATAACTAAATGTGACCACTACCATATAATGGCAATTCATAACAAGAAATTGAGTAAAGAGGATGCTACCTATATAATTAGAAAGAGGGTGGATTAAATGGGGAGGTGTATTGGGAGTGCTGTGTGACTGGAGAAAGGCAATCGGATCAAGAAGAATTTTTATAAGATGTAACTTCTTGGGCAATAATTTAGTGAGGAAAAGAAAACTTCTTGCGCAATAAGCAACACAACATAAAATGAGCACAACAAAGATCAAGATGTTGAGATAAATTAGTAGAAAAAACTAGAAAGCATAGATTCAAAAATAAGTGCATTAGTGAGAACCTACAAGTGGCCCCAATAAGTGATAAAATGAGACAAAATAGATTAAGGGGGTGGTTGGCAATATGATTGGTTTTCTTTTTCAGAACAAAATCATAGATATTGGTAAACAACACCTAAGATGCTTTAGACATCTGCACCATCTACAGCAATAGTAAGGAGCAAATGGGGGTTTGGGTTAGGGAGAGAAATTTTCTTTATGGAGGATGGGTGGTGGTGAGGATTATGAATTTTCTGTAAGGCTTGGATGGGTATCTAGAGAGGTGAGGTCTTCTTATGGGGTGAGTGTGTGTAAAGGGATTATCAATTTTAATAGGGAGTTTAGAAGTTTCACAAGGTTTTCAGTAGGAGAGGGCTCAAAAGTGAGGTTTTGGGAGGATGATTGGTGTGGGGTTGACAAGTTAAGTGAGGTTTGTCCAAGATTATATAGGCTAGCTGAGGGTGAAGTGACAATTAAAAGTTGTTATGAAAGAAGGGGAGATCAGTTGATATGGAGCCCAAAATTCAGAAAGCCTTTGCTGGACAGAGAGGTGGATGAATGCATCTCTCTGTTGGGGAAATCAGAGGATGTGAAAATTTCTCCTTGGAGGAGGGATGAGCTGTGGTGGAAGGAATGCTCAAATGGAAAATTTACTGTAAAGTCTTGTTATCTAGCCCTCAGCAAAAGCAATTCAGAATCAGATCAAATAGAAGGTGTGTGGGGAAATCCAGTTCCCCCAAGAGTAGAAGCTTTTGCGTGACTGGTGGCTATGGACAGTGTCCTGACTGTTGATCATTTGAAATCAAGAGGCTTCCACTTGATCAATAGGTGCTGCTTATGCAAAGAGCAGGAAGAAAATTTCAAACATGGTTTTTTTTTTAATGCAAGATTGCTATTTTCTATGGAGATTGTTTACAACTTTGTTTGGGGTATCTGATTTTCATCCAAATTCAGTCTCAGAAATTTTTTCTTTTTT